GGGCCGACTGTAGGCAGAGCAGGGCTATAGGTGGGCTGTGGCTTGGGTGGGGCCCTGGGCGGGGCCGACTGTAGGCAGAGCAGGGCTGTAGGTGGGCTGTGGCTGTGGGTGGGGCCATGGGCGGGGCCGACTGTAGGCAGAGCAGGGCTGCAGGTGGGCTGTGGCTTGGGTGGGGCCGTGGGCGGGGCCAACTGTAGTCAGAGCAGGTCTATAGGTGGCTGTGGCTGTGGGCGGGGCCGACTGTAGGCAGGGCGGGGCCGACTGTAGGCAGAGCAGGGCTGCAGGTGGCTGTGGCTGTGGGTGGGGCCATGGGCGGGCCGCCTAGGCAGAGTGGCACTATGGGCTGACCTTGGACGTGGTTAGGGCCTAGTACAGCATATTACTGATCAGGGCGTGGTCACAGCAGGGTGGTGTCCTAGGTGCCCCTGGGGCTAGGGGACTTCCTCACAAGCTCAGTGGGCACTTCAGGGGTCGCCCTGCTGCACACCACGGAGGGCTTGTCCACTAGCTTTGGCTCTGGCTCCGCATCCTTAGGTCACGTGACCATGTAATCAGCCTTCCCTTTGACCCTGGGCTGGAACCCCAGCCTCCCTCTGCCTCCCCCGGCTCAGATACTCACTTGGAAGGAGAAAGGACATGCACCCCCACCCGCGCTAGGCCCACACGCCCCCTGCTGCAGGGAGTGTGGGGAGGGTGGGTTCTAGGATGGCCATGTTGCAGCCAAGGACGCTGAGGCGCTGGGTGACAGGTCCGCACAGCCATGGCGGACAAGTGTCTCTGGAGCCTCTCCCAGAGGTTGGCCCTGCTGGGGCCCCAGGTGATGTGCCCTGTCCCAGGAGCAGGGGCAGCCTCAGTGTCCTGAGCTCTACGGCACCTGAGAATTCCTGGCCCCATGAAGGCAGCATGGGCCAAGAGCACACCAGGGTCTTTTCTGCAGGTGGACCCCACGCCCTTCTACGAGGCCTGTGTGCACGACTCATGCTCCTGTGACACGGGCGGGGACTGTGAGTGCTTCTGCTCTGCTGTGGCCTCCTACGCCCAGGAGTGTACCAAGGCGGAGGCCTGCGTGTTCTGGAGGACGCCGGACCTGTGCCGTAAGAGCCCCCCCGAACTGGACCTGGGGCTAGCGGGGGGCTGGGAGGGCTGCCCTGTGGGCTGGGGTGGCACATCCAGGCAATGGGTGTGCGTGACCGCCCTTTCCCCACCTTCCCTGGCTTCCTTCTTTGGGGCCCCATGGACCTGGGATGGCACAGCAGGCTTGATGTGTCCGTGCCCCAGCCCCCCACCCCAGATTTGCCTCATCCTGGCCTGTGCCTGAGCCCCCATCTCCGGCGTCTGACCCCGGCCCCGCCTCCCCCCAGCCATATTCTGTGACTACTACAACCCTCCGCATGAGTGTGAGTGGCACTATGAGCCGTGTGGGAACCGGAGCTTCGAGACCTGCAGGACCATCAACGGCATTCACTCCAACATCTCCGTGTCCTACCTGGAGGGTGAGCAGGGCGGGCCTGAGGGGGCTGACGGCAGACGGGCCTGGAGGGTGAGCGGGGCAGCTGGGGAGGGGATGATGGCAGATGCGCCTGGAGGGTGGGTGGGGCAGGCCTGGAGGGGGGATGGCAGACAGGCCTGGCCGTGTGGGGTTGAAGGCTGTTGTTTCCTGGAGACCTGTGGGGACACGCAGAGGGAGGCCTGACCCTCAGGGCACCCTCAGCCCAGGGCGGCCAGGCTCCTCTTGCTGCAGGGTCAGGAGGGAAACCGGAAGTGGTGGGGTGGGAGGTACTCAGGTCCATGCAGAGCAGGGCGGGTTGGGGAATATTTCAGGCACAGGTCAGCAGAGTCCCCGGTAGGTGCTGGCATCTGAGCTGAGAACCAGTGACGTGAAGAAGGGTGCGGTGGGAAATTTGGGAAGGAGAATTCCGCCATGGGAGAGGAATGTGGGTCTTGGGACTCAGGGCTGCTCTTGAGACTGGGTAGGGCCCCTCAGCGGGCAGTGTTCAGGCACAGTGCAGGGGGAGATCCAGGTCTTGCCTTTCTAATCCCTGGGTTTCCCAGAGGGGCATCCTCCAGAGAAGAGCCTGCCAGGGTGGAGACGGTGGGTGGGGTGTGGTGGACTGCGGTGGTCCCAACTCCATGCCCTGTGTCCACCAGGCTGCTACCCCCGGTGCCCCAAGGAGAGGCCCATCTATGACGAGGACCTGAAGAAGTGTGTCACTGCGGACAAGTGTGGCTGCTACATTGAGGATACCCACTACCCGCCTGGAGCGTCGGTTCCCACCGAGGAGATCTGCAAGTCCTGGTACCTATACCACGTGGCAGGGGTCTGCACATATGGGCACATGGGTACACACACACACGTGAGCACACAGTGCATAAACACACAAACATTCCACAGGGATGCACATGCACACAAATGCACATGGCATACCATGTGCACACACAATCACACGTACGCCCAATTCACACATGCATGGATGCTGACATGCAGGCACAGTCACACAGTCACACATGCACACACAGTCACAGTTACACATGCACACACAGTCATGCAGTCACATGTGCAGACACAGCCACACATGCACACACAGTCATGCAGTCACATGTGCAGACAGTCACACATGCACACACACAGTCACATATGCACACACAGTCATGCAGTCACATGTGCACAGTCACACATGCACACACACAGTCATACATGCACACTCAGTCACAGTCACACATGCACACACAGTCATGCAGTCACATGTGCAGACACAAGCACACATGCACACACACAGTCACATATGCATACACAGTCAGTCACACATGCACAGTCATGCAGTCACATGTGCACAGTCACACATGCACACACACAGTCATACATGCACAGTCAGTCACACATGCACACACAGTCATGCAGTCACATGTGCACAACCATACATGCACACACACAGTCATACATGTGCACTCAGTCACAGTCACACCATACACACACGCTCAGTCACACATGCACACACTCTCACAGTCACAGTTACACATGCACACACAGTCACACCATGCATACACTCTCAGTCACACATGAAAACATGCACAGATACCGACGTGCAGGCGCACCAGTCATACAGTCACACATGCACACACTCTCAGTCACACATGCACAGTCACACATGCATGGACACAGACACACAGTCACACTTCAGTCACACCATCACACATGCACACACAGTCACACGTGTACACATGCCTAGACACAGATACCCAGGCACTTACTCAGTCACACAGTCACTCAGTCACACAGTCACACACTCACACAGTCACAGTCACACACTCATACAGTCATACAGTCACACATGCACACGGTCACACATGCATGGACACAGACACACAGTCACATGCTTGAGTCACACAGTCACACATGTACACATGCATGGACACAGACACACAGTCACACACTTCAGTCACACAGTTACATGTGTACCCATGCCTAGACACATATACCCAGGGATGTACTCAGTCACACAGTCACACACTCACACAGTCATACAGTCACACATGCACACAGTCACACATGCATGGACACAGATACACAGTCACATACTTCAGTCACACAGTCACATGTGTACACATGCCTAGACACAGATACCCAGGCACGCACTCAGTCACACAGTCGCACAGTCACACATGCATGGACACAGACACACAGTCACATACTTCAGTCACACAGTCACATGTGTACACATGCCTAGACACAGATATCCAGGCACGCACTCAGACACACAGTCGCACAGTCACACATGCATGGACATAGACACACGGTCACACACAGGCACACAGCCACGCAGGCACACGGGAGCCAGGCCACGGAGGCATCAGTCCCTGCCTCACTGGGGTGGGGTCTTCTGTTCTCATCCCGTCCTCTGGGTCTGGCTTTTCCTTCCTCTCCTTGTACCTGCTCTGTTCCCACAGTTAGGACCCAATGGGGGGGCTCTTCCGGAGCTGGCTTTTGGGGCAGTGCCCAGGGGCTTTGGGCTCCGCACTGGCTGCATGGGGATACCAGAGGTCTGAGCAGGGCTGGCACAGCATGGGGGGACGCCAGGGGGAACACCGGGGGCTGAGCGGGGCAGACGTGGCGCCGTGGGGTGGACCTGCAGCCGTCTGCTTGCTTTGCAGCGTGTGCACCAACTCCTCCCAAGTTGTCTGCAGGCCGGAGGAAGGTGAGCTGCCCTTCGCCCCCAGCCCTGCGGTGGTCGGGCCCATCCCCGGGAAGCCTGTGGAGCTTGGATGGGCGGGGGATGCTGGTCTCCTCCCAGGTTCTGCCCCTTGGGTCCCCCCCACTGGCTCAGACCCAGCTCTGATGTGCGTCAGCCCCGCGGGGCTCCTGTAACACACTTGTCTCTTCTGGGGTGCCGGTGCCCTGTGGGGACTCTCTGTTACCCTCTCCCGTGATCCAGCTTCTGTGTTCCGATGGGATTCCCTTTATTCAGAGAGGGGCTCCGGGGCGAAGGCAGTCCCACTGGGGCATTTGCCTGCCACTTGTGGGAGCTTGGGCACACCCGTCTTCCCCCGACCCTGCTCCCGATGAGGTGATCTTGGCCTCACCGTCACCTGCAGGAAAGATTCTCAATGAGACCCAGGATGGTGCCTTCTGCTACTGGGAGATCTGTGGCCCCAATGGGACGGTGGAGAAGCACTTCAACATCTGTGGGTCCACTACGCTACGCCCGTCCACGCTGACCACCTTCACCACGGTCACCCTCCCCACCACCCCCACCACCTTCACCACCACCACCACCACCACCCCCCCGACCCCCAGCACAGGTGAGGCCCCCTGGTGCCCCAGTGCTTTCTCGGGCTTTCACCTTCCTCTGCATCCTGCCTCCATTTCGGGGGCAGACCCTGGCCCGGTGCACAGCAGCTGCAAAGTAAGGTGACATTCCTGTGCAGTGGGCAGGACGGGGATGGGGGGGCGGAGGCTGTGCCCTGACTCCCCTCGCCTGGTGAGTTGAGATGGTAGCATCCTGACCACCTCCCCAAACCCAGGTCATGGTGGAGGATGACTTGAGATTTCTGAAAACCGGCAGGGAAACATCCCTAAGGGTTAGAGAAATCAGAGAAATTTCCTTATTTGCCCCTGCATTTGTTCTGGCTGAGATCCTGCCTAACAAGCCAACAGGGGTACGGCAGCCACAGAAAAAAGAAGCTTTAAAAATTAAGACAAGATTTCCGAAGATCTCGAACTATATAATGACGTCCTTTTTTCTTTCTGCTTTGTTGCAGTTTCACCGATAACTCCGGGTAAGTGACGGTGGCGATGTTCATGGTGAACACAGGGTGGGAGGAGCGAAGTTTGCAAAATCACCTGCAGGGCGCTTCCTTCAGGCCCAGATGTGAGGCGGGGGAGCTGCACTCCTCTGCTTACGGACCCAAGATGGGTGTATTTTGGGGACTTGGTTCAGGGTTTGCTGAGGTCAGGGACTCAAGCAGGACCTGAGTGGCTGTGGGTGACAATATTGCTGGTTAAGAGCGGAGACAAAGCTCTTTCAGGCACACTTCCTACTGGAATGGGTGGTTCTCTTGCTATTCATTCCTCGAAAAAAGTCTCGAAAATAGCCGAGGAAAGGGTCCGTCACACCAGGTGTGGCCCTGGGTGGCCCCGTCTCTCTGGGCACAGGTTTTCAGCTGCAAAGTGAGGATGGAAGTGGTGTCTAGCCCTGAGCTCTCTGGCCCTGCACTCCGGGTTTTGGCAATGACAGGGAAAAGAGAGGTTGCATCTGGGGGACGGGCATGGAGGTCCCCGGGTCCTCTGAATCCAGGTGGCTTCCTGGAAGTGCCTCTCCCTGGAGTGAGTCACCACAGCTGGGTTTCGCTTCCCTAGAGCCGTGCTGCCGCTGGTCTGACTGGATCAACGAGAACCACCCCAGCAGCGGCAGCGATGGTGGTGACCGAGAGACGTTTGATGGGGTCTGCAGCGCCCCTGAGGACATCGAGTGCAGGTCCGTCGAGGCGCCACACCTCAGCTTGGAGGAGCTGGGCCAGAAGGTGCAGTGCGACCTCTCCGTCGGGTTCATTTGCAAGAATGAAGACCAGTTTGGAAATGGACCATTTGGACTGTGTTACGACTACAAGATACGTGTCAATTGTTGCCGGCTCATACCTGAGTGCATCACCTCTCCAACAACCACCACTCCCCGCCCTCCACCAACCACCACGACCACCATACCACCAACCACCACAACCACCCCTCCAAGCCCTCCATCAACCACCACGACCACCACACCACCAACCACCACTTCCAGCCCTCCATCAACCACCACAACCACCGCTCCACCAACCACCACAACCACCCCTCCCAGCCCTCCATCAACCACCACGACCACCCCTCCACCAACCACCACTTCCAGCCCTCCATCAACCACGACAACCACCACTCCACCAACTACCACA